GGATTTCCCGCAACCTTACCATTTGTAGATAGTCACACGTCTTGTACGGAAACCGCCGAAGGCGGTTCCCGCTAACTAACAACTGCTCTACAACTGTCTCGTGTACTGTCTTCTGTAACAACCCTCCCTGTGACTCAACTGAACCGTGTGATTGTACAACTCTCAATATGTCTTATAAGTCTGGTTATATCAAGTCCTCTAACGGCCCTCGCTGTGAGAACTCGAGGTCGCAAGTCGAAGACTCTCAACATGTGTATTGTCCTATGGAACCTGTATGGGTCCTCGTCACTCCGCTCTCCCCCCAGTACTCGACATACGACATTGTAACAGGTCTATCACCTAGACTCGAGACAGAGAGAAGGGGGAGGGTGGTAGTGTGCGTGAGTGTGGTTCGTGAGGCCGGGTCTTGGTCCGTGGGTGCTACTGAGTCTACAAAAACCTCAAACAAACACTCACCTACGTCTCTCTTGGACGTCAAGGCTGAGTATTATGATGTGTGGGGTCTTAGACGTGAGCAACTAGCTCAGAGGGGGCGTTAGTGTCATGGATGGCGTCTTTGCCACTTGGATGCAACTTCTGCTTGTCCCTTCACGGGTCTATTCAATACTAACTTGTTATATACAAGTTGTTATCTAGTTTATATATGTTTGAAATGAAATGAATGGACTGGGGGAATGTAAACGGGCCGTTAGGCAACCGCAAATGATGAATATCCAATTGGGAACAAAGAAACAATAAAAGAAATATGAATGAATGGGGAATATATCATAACGGGTCCGAAATGGGAAATGTAAAAGTTAACTCCGCAGCGCTTCGCCACAGCGCCCGCCTATCCTCTCGTCAGCAACCCCCTTGTCTCCAGCTTTCCAACGAGCCCCTATTCATCCCATTTGGTGCAGTAGTTGTTGAGATGTGGCCATTGACAGGTGCTGTCAAGACCACGTGAGACTCTACTCCGTGCTGAACCATCCAGGCATGGGATTGCCATTCTGGGAAATGCTCCGGGGGTGAAGAAGCAAGGTAGAGCATCACTATCGGGTGGGAAAATGGCTGGGTTGTATGTGTAGGTATGGAGATCTGGAGAGGGGGTGAAATTGGCGGCGTGGTTGGGCGTGGGAATTTTGCTTGGGGTTGTCGGGAATGATGGGGAAAATAGGGAAAAATAAGGAATGAGTTTGTGGAGTGTTGGATAGTGATAGAATGAACATCGGGAGCGTCAGCAGATATGTACTGCGTGTTGGTGACCAAATTCCGCAGAATCTGACTTTTTGCGGTACACGGAGTTGTCCCCACAACAACGTCACATCACGATCATGGAGATCGTGAATACTCTGAGGCCCACTTTCCCATGATGCCGGCACGTTCGCTACGCGAACGCCAAGTCGCCGCCCATCCACCGTCTGTTCCCTCCTTCATCAGTCATCATGTTTCCTCACCAACGGTATGTTCCCTTTGGGAACGCCAAGTCACCGAAGGCCCTATTAGTCAGTCCTCATTGCACGCTTATGATATCAACCTGCTACCAGTACGTTCGCACTGTGAACGCCAAGTACCCGATGGCAACTATACAAAGTTCTCACCCATCTCACAAGTCACGTCCTTGCACACGGTACGCTCCATTGAGGGGCGCCAAGTACCCATGGCTGACCCATCCGTCCTGGCATCTCCGACTACCTACCATCAATCCCTTAATAGCTCACTACATCACCAATCGTGATCAATGGGAATTCGATCGTCCGCTCCCGGGCGAGACTGGGATCACTCATCGATTACATATCCCATTATGGTACAGACTAGACATGACCCTCGTCATCCCACTATAAGAACGGATCGAGGAATGGGGAATTTTCCCCATCCCTGTAACAAATTCTCTTGGAAGCTGCAATTTGCCTCAAGTATCATGTAGTCAAGTCAATTTGTGAAATTCTTGGTGAGCACTCCAGGAACATCTATATCATGCAACAATGCATCTGACAATTCCATGGAAAAATAACCCACATTCTATTGTGAATTTCAAGACTGAACCTATGGAAGTGTTACAGGAATGGGTTCTGGGGAACCCAACCTGAGCCATTCTGCTCACAGATGGAGGTGGCTGTGTAGCCATTGAGGGGAGAGCAGGAGGAGATCCAAGGCCAGGTGGGCTAACAGTAACTTGGCACTCCGAGGAGCATACTGGCAGCGGGTGTGGTGGTCTGCTCATGGTGACTTGGCACTCCAAGGAGCATACTGGCAGTGGGTATAGTGGGGACTCCTTGAGGGAGCCACCTAACAGTTGGCTAGCGGTGACTTGGCACTCATGTGAGTGTACTGGTAGTGTGGGTAGTTGGCACTCCTTGAGGGAGTAGCCCAGTGGTTGACTATCAGTTACTTGGCACTCAGGGGAGCGTACCGGTAGCAGGATTTGTTGGGACAGGCAGGTTGGTTGACCAGTGCATGGTAGTGAGTGACCATGGGAATTTGGGCCCACAGGTACATGGCCAGGCATCCTGGGGCTGCCTGAGTCACCTCTCCCTCCCAAGAAGGGAGGAAGAGTTGTAGGACCCAGTAGGGTACTACAGGAAGGGTAGGAATGGGAGCTCAACCACCCAGTGGGGGGGTGGGAGCAGGGAGGGTGAGGTCTGGTGTCTGAGCACTCACTGGGCTGTTGAGGTTTTCTCACAGATTGTAAGAATATTGATGTAGACATCGATATGGACCAAGTCAGATGTTACAGAGAAGGCTTACAGTGGTGGCACAATGGTGTGGCAGTTACAATTGCAGTACAAGGTTTTGTGGGTTATGTATTAGATAAGGAAAGACATTTTCCGGCATCTGCCTTACACATTATATGACTTCTAACTATCTAATATAAAAGTCACAATGGTCAAGGGAAGTCCCTTGAAACTCAACAAATTCCCCAGCCAGCACCAAAACCCAGTGGGAAAGCTTGGCATGGGGTTTGACAATGAAATAAAGGTGCAGGGACCAAAGGTTTGATTGTTCATAGTCACGGACCATAAGATTCTAGGTCCATTCCTATAACAGGAAGACTCTGCAGCCCAATATGAATAGTGTCAGGGCACACCCACCCACCCAGCTCCACCCAGACCCAGCTCTACCTGATGCCGTGCTCCTCTTTCCCCCTTTCTCCCTCCTTCCTTTTCTTTTTTCCTTTCTTTACTTTACTTTTGTTCTCTCTCTCTCTCTATCACATGGACTTTCCTTGTATCAATGTACCCTTCACCTGCAGCCTGCATGCATGACATGCCTGGGGCTGGGTGTACCCATCACATGCCCACAGCAGATGCCCTCAGGATCTCCCATGGAGACACCTGGATGGCTGTGGCTGTGTGTGAGGGTGACATGGCACTTCCCACATGACTGTTAGAATGGGGCAAGAGTGGATGATTCCAGAGTGGAACCGGAGACTTAGCAAGGAGGGACCTTGGCCTCAGCAACTCAAGGGGAGCGCTGTGCCATTGCTGTTTGTCCTGTTGGTCCTTAATTTCAGACATAGTGAGGAAGTCTCTAGGGGGCATCTCTAGTCGATTTTAGACTGAGGGTCTAATCAAGTATGTACAAGTGCCTACATATAATGGGGAGATGAAAGCACAAGGAAACAAGGGTGATCTAAAATGGAACAAATGTGTCTGAACAGAGACAAAGGGAGTTATGGAAGTGGAGTGGTACCAAGGGTCAAGGGTTAGACTCTATGGTGCATCTGAGAGGTAAGGAGGGTGAAGCCCAGAGGGGCAGGAGGATGAGGTGAAGTGGGGTTGATGACTAACTGGTTTAAAGAAGCAGTAGTCCAAATAGGGATGAGGGAGAAGTGCAAAAGATACAGTACAAGCAGCGAGAGTGCTGAGAATGGTCTGTGAAGCTCAGAGGTAGTGGAGCTTATGGGGGTTGCAGAGGCAGAGTTGGAAGTCCAAGGAATATTGGCAATGGTGTTTATGTAGAGTAAGGTCACCAATGCAAAGGACTTAAGCTGAGGTGGGGTCAAAGTCTGAGGTTGGGACCATGACAGAGTCTCAGAGTGTCCAACCTTTTAAGGTGCAGAGAATAAGAGTGAAAGTGACGAGGTATGCTATGATAATGGAAAATGGGAGAAATTGGTCACTGCATTGTACTTGTAATCAAGAAGAACACAGACACTCCAATCACATGTTTCCAACCTTTTAAGGTGCAGAGAATAAGAATGAAGGTGACAAGGTACCCTACAATAATGGAAAATGAGGGAAATTGGTCGCTGTGTTGTACTTGTAATCAAGAAGAACACAGACATTCCAATCACATGTTTCCAACCTTTAAGGTGTAGAATGAGAGTGAAGGTGACAAGGTACGCTATGATAATGGCAACAGGGGAAATTGGTCGCTGCATTGTACTTGTAATCAAGAAGAACACAGCCACTCCAACTGCACATTTCCAACCTTTAAGGTGTAGAATGAGAGTGAAGGTAATGAGGTATGCTATGATAATGGCAAACAGGAGAAATTGGTCGCTGCATTGTACTTGTAATCAAGAAAAACACAGACACTTCAATCACACGTTTCCAGCCTTTTAAGGTGCAGAGGATAAGAGTGAATGCAATGAGGTATGCTACGATAAAGGCAAATGAGGGAAATTGGTCACTGCATTGTACTTGTAATCAAGAAAAACACAGACACTCCAATTTCATGTCTCCCACCTTTAAGGTAGAAAAAATAATGAGGTGCAAGGTGCTACATGGGGGCAGACATGATGGGATTGGTTGCTGTACTATCCTTGGGTCTCCGAAGAGTACAAACACTCCAATTGCATGTCTCAGAGAGATATGAGCATTGGCCAGCTGCAAGTCTGTGGGTGAAGAGGAAATGGGATATACCCACAACAATTGTACAGTTTATTATTATCAGATACACCTGCAACAATGGTACAAGTACATTACCTAAGTAGTTCAAGTATAGTTAATTATTGATAAAATTAGAGAAAAATTAGTCCATGATGCAAATGTGTAATATAGTACAAAAGGATCACATCAGATAAGATGTGTCCATGGCTCAGCAACATGCTTCATGTAGCAAGGCTGATCAAGATCCAGTTCAAGCACGATTTTCCAGTTGCTACCCTTAGGGTGGTATTGAAGCATCTCAGCACTCAAGTGGGTGATAGATGGTGTTTCACCATTCCTCATCATCTCATCATGAGCCCAACATGCAACATGAAGAATCATGAAATCCATAGGGCCCGACGTTGGCCACATAGGCACTGAGAATTTTGACAAGCCCCAAGGCTGGAAGAATGGGCACTAACAAGAACCTCGAAATGATGGAGTTCAACATCAAAAGGTTCTTGATGTACCATAGACTGCAGCCAAGTGGCTGTAAACATGATGCCCTCCATAGGACAAATGTGATCCCTTTGATTGGGGGGAGGGTGCTGTTGTGGTGAGTGGGGAACAAGAGGAGGATATTTCTTGTACTGGAGGAATGAGTGAAGGTGATTGGTTTTGTTAGCCTTCAGAAGTGCAATGTCCATGAGAGCCATGATATCAATGTGATCACACATAAACGTCACATCTACATATGGCAAATCTAGCATGAAGTGGTGATTGTTGAGTGAGCTGACATAGATGTTGGAGGAACAGGATTTCCCCTCTGAATGCAACTTCTCAGCCATTTTATCATGATTATCCATGCACTTGAAGAGCATCTCCATAGATGGTGGCTCATGCTGCCCACCCTTCCTTGAACGATGTGTTGGATAAACTCCTTGGGCATGGCACTTTTCCAACCAGGCCAGCTCTGCATCCTGTACATCAACTACAGTGAGGTGATACCAGTGGCCAAGAGGAACCATGGCTGATGACACAGATTGTGAGGGGGTGGCCACACCACCACAGTGGCTCAGTGGCATGGCATGACACCCAGGAGCAGTCATAGGAAGACACTCTGGCTCTATCACCATGGTGTCGACATATTGAATGAAGCCACTGCCTGATGCCTCCTGACAATTTAGGCTCAAGGATGGTGACAAAGCTACAGCAGGGGTAGGACTGTGGCCCATTGGTGATGCAGTGGGTTGTTGAGTGGGTGATGCAAGGATTGGCAAAGGTGGGGTGTCAGGGTGTCAGGGACTGCCTCCACTTAGCAGTGATGCCTCTGGCCTTCCATCATTCATCATTTGGCCTCAAGAATGGTAGAGGAATGACAGGTGCATCATAGTCTGGCAATGCAACATTTCCCATCTTGCAAAGCAACAAAGAGGTATCAGGCAAAGAACAACCCAAGGGTGGGGAGTGAGTCATAGGTGTGAGAGAGGATTCTGTGCCTCACAGTGCTTCTTGCACTCCTGGAACAAGATTTTTAGTCTCTCAGCACTCATTACTGTGGAGATTTAACATGGGTCATGGCCCTTACCCCTAGAGTCTTGATACCCATGGCACCAAGAGAAGAACAATCTGGGAGAGGAGATGTAAGGAGGGAATGGGATGGAGTTGTGAGGGGGACTGTTGGTGCCAAAGATGGGGGAGGATTAACATGGCTCATGGCCCCTAATGTTACGGATACGGAGTCTCCAACGACCATATCCGTCGCATGGTCAAAGACTTCCCCTCTCTATCGCTCCTCCCCTCTTTCTCCTTTCCGTCCTCTATCCCGCTACCCTATCCTCCTTACCCGTTCTACCCCTTTCCCCCCCCTCGTGCAAAGCTTTCCCCATTGGGGTTTTGGTGCTGGCCGAGGTTGTTTGTGTTTCGCGGGATTTCCCGCGACCTTACCATTTGTAGATAGTCACGCGTCATGTACGGAAACCGCCGAAGGTGGTTCCCGCTAACTAACTAACAACTGCACTACAACTGCTTCGTGTACCGTCTTCTGTAACAACCCTCCCTGTGACTCAACTGAACTCGTGTGACTGTACAACTCTCAATATGTCTTATAAGTCTGGGTATATCGAGTCCTCTAACGGCCCTCGCCGCGAGAACTCGAGGTCGAGAGTCGAAGACTCTCGACATGTGTATCGTCCTATTGAATCTGTACCCTATGGTTCTTCATCACTACGCTCTCCCCCAGTACTCAACATACGACATCCCATCACGATCATAGTGATCGCGAACTCTATGAGGCCCCCTCACCCGCGATGCCGGCACGTTCGCTACGCGAACGCCAAGTAGCCGCCCATCCGCCGTCTGTTACTTCCTTTGCCAGTCAACATGTGTCCCCGCCAACGGTACGTTCCCTTTGGGAATGCCAAGTCACCGAAGGCCCTAATAGTCAGTTCTCATTGCACGCCTATGATATCAACCCGCCACCGGTACGTTCGCACTGCGAACGCCAAGTACCCGATGGCAACTACACGAGGTTCTCGTCCATCCCGCAAGTCGTAACCTCGCACACGGTACGCTCCATTGAGGAGCGCCAAGTACCCGTGTCTGGCCCATCTGTCCTGGTATCTCCGACTACATATCATCAACCCCTTAATAGCTCACTACATCACCCATCACGATCGATGGGAATTCGATCGTCCACTCCCGGGCAAGACTCATCGATTACACTTCCAGTTATGGTACAAACTATACATGACCCTCGTCATCCCACTATAAGAACGGATCGAGGAATGGGGAATTTTCCCCATCCCCGTAACAATGATGAACGACATTCTTTGGGATTTCATCGACTGAGAAGTCGTCATCTGTTACATGGACGACATCTTGATCTTCATGTCCACCCTAGAGGAACACCGGAAGGTCGTGCGGGAAGTGCTGGGAACACTGCGGAGGAGGAAACTCTTCCTCAAACCAGAGAAGTGCAAGTTCGAGTGACGCCATATCAAGTACCTCGGACTTGTCATCTCCGAAGGCAACGTGGCCATGGACCCGGTGAAAATCCAAGGAGTCCTCGACTGGCCGACGCCGACGAAGGTGAAAGAAGTGCAGTCCTTCTTAGGCTTCGTAAACTTCTACCGCCGCTTCATCAAAGACTTCTCTGAGACAGCACGCCCACTCCATGTGCTAACCTGCAAAGCAAAGGTCTGGGAATGGGGAGAGAGCAAAGAAAACGCCTTCAACGCTCTTAAGAAAGCCGTCACCTCCGCCCCCGTCCTCACCTTCCCCGCCGACAGCAGCCGCTACAAACTCGAATGCGATGCCTCCAACTTCGCCACCGGCGCCATCCTGTCCCAGCTCCAAGCCGACGGCGAATTCCACCCCATAGCCTTCATGTCCAAAAGCTTCACTGAGGTAGAACGAAACTATGAAATCTATGATAAGGAAATGCTCACGATAGTCCGAGCGCTAGAAGAGTGGCGTCACTTCGTAGAAGGAGTGGAAGAAAAGGTCGATATCTACACTGACCACCGTAACTTGGGCTATTTCCACACTGCACAGCGGCTGAATCGCCGCCAAGCACGGTGGTCACTCTTCCTATCCCGCTTCCACTTCACCCTCATCCACCGCCCAGGAAAGCTCATGGGGAAACCGGACGCCCTCTCACGCTGCGCCGACCACCCGAAAGGGAAAGACGACAACGAGAGCTTGACCCTCTTACAGCCAGAGTGGTTCGAAGCCCGTGCAACGGAGGCCGTCACAGTGGAGGGAGAAGAGATGACCATCCTGGAGAGGATACGCGCGGCGAAGGACCGCGACAAGAAAGTGGTGAAGGCACTGAAGGAACTAGGAGATGGGACGCTCAGGTCAGATGAATGGAGCAAAGACGGAGAACTGGTCCTCTACCGAGGAAAGGTGTACATCCCGAAAGACATGCAACTCCGCCACAACCTGGTGCGGCTACACCATAACACCCGGGCGACGGGACACCCAGGGTGATGGAAAACCCTGGAACTCGTCTCCCGCAACTACTGGTGGCCCTGGATGGCGGAGTACATGGGCCGCTACATAGCGGGGTGTGACACCTGCAACCGAGTCAAATCGTTCCCTTCACGGAAGGTGGGGAAACTCATGCCGAACAAGATCCCCACCCGCCGCTGGCAGGTAATCTCTGTAGATATGATTGGGGAGCTCCCCGAGTCGAAAGGTTACAACGCCATCCTGGTTGTAGTAGATCGCCTCTCCAAGCGCATCCATGCAATCCCCACGGTCACGATGGTGGACTCAGTGGGAATCGCCCGACTTTTCCTTGAACATGGCTGGAAGCATCACGGCCTCCCCAAGGAAATTCTCAGCGACAGAGGGAGCGCCTTCGTCTCCCAGTTCTCCAAAGAACTGGCAGCCCTGCTAGCGGTCAAATTGACCCCCTCGACGCCCTACCACCCACAGACAGACGGGCAGACAGAGCGGGTAAACCAAGAGATAGAAGCATACCTCCGAGTGTTTGTTAACCACCGTCAAGATGACTGGGCAGATTGGCTCCCGCTAGCGGAGTTCTCCCATAACAACCGCATCCATGCATCCACCCGCCGCACCCCCTTCGAGCTCGACACCAGCCAGCACCCCAGAATGGGGACAGAACCTACGCGCACATCAGAAGTCGAAGCCGCAGATGCATTCACCTCGAAGATGATGAAAATGCAAGAGGAGGCAAAAGCGGCGCTCGAGCATGCAGCAGAGGAGATGGCCCGCTACTATGACCGGAATCGGGAAGCGGTGCCTGAGTACAAAGAGGGTGACCAAGTCTGGCTCAGCACCCAAAACTACACCACAGACTGCCCAACCAAGAAGCTGGACCACAAATGGACAGGCCCCTTTAAAATTCTCAAAGTTGTATCCCCCGCTGCCGTCAAGCTCCAACTTACAGCACAGCAAAAGGGAGTCCACCCAGTGGTGTCAGTAACGAATATCCGACCCCACCGCCCAGACGAAATTGCCGAACGACCTGCCGACCCTCACCCAGGCCCCGAAATCATAGACAGGGGGGAAGAGTACGAAGTTGAGAAGGTCCTCGACTCCCACTGGCACCGCAGGAAGCTCTGGTATTTGGTAAAGTTCACAGGCTGGCCAAACTCCGAAAATGAATGGCTCCCCCTTGACAACCTGGCCAATGCGCGTGACCGAATCGAGGAGTTCTACAGAGCACACCCAGACGCCCCTGGGAGAGAACGAGGGAACCCCCTAGCCACTTCGAGGCGAAGCGGCTTAAGGGGGGGTGATGTCAGGGCACGCCGCTGCCACCTCCTTTCCTTTCGTCTCATCGTCTCATTCTCTCTTCTTTCCCTCTTCTCTTTTTCTATCTTTATACAGACGACCTCTCTTTCCTACACTTGTAGCACGGACGCGCCCGACGCTGAGCACCCTGTAGGGGCACCGCCACGCCGGATGCACCGTGCACTCCTACTTGTATTTCCCCTCCAACACTCGGGATCGACCGCGGAGCCACCCGCGGTAACCCGGCTTCGTCCGAAGGTGACGTGGCACTTCCACGTGACCCGTTCACACATGTATATAAACTAAGCCGAAGCAGGACCGAAGAAGTAACCTTCTTCTCATTTCCCGCTTCAGGCAAGTACCCTAGTTTAGTCTAGCTTCCCACCCTAATAACAATACATTTCCCGCTTCAGCCTAAGAAGCCACACAGGGACATAAGCCTGAGTGAGGGCTGCCCACTATATGGTCTTACCGCCCCGCCGCCGTCCGGGCCGCTAGCGCCAAGCGCTACGCTGCTACCTCTGCCTCCCTCGAGCCGTCCCTGACATGCATCCACGTACGTATCGCCCGACATATTCTGCCATCCGAGGCCACCAGTAGTTGCAGGAGACGAGCTCCAGGGTTTTCCATCGCCCTGGATGTCCCGTCGCCCACGCATCGTGGTGTAGCCATACCAGATTGTGGCGGAGTTGTGGGTCTTTTGGAACGTACACCCTGCCTCGGTAGAGGACCAACTCTCCCTGTCTCTCCCACTCGTCCGACCTTAATGTCCCTTCTCCCAGTTCCCTCATGGCCTTCACCACCCGCTCGTCATGATCCTTCGCTCCTCGTACCCTCTCTAGGATATCCGCCTCCTCACCTTCCACTGAGACTGCTTCTGTTGCACGGGCCTCGAACCAGGCCGGTTGGAGGAGGGTCAGCCCCTTGTTGTCGTCCCTTCCCTTCGGGTGGTCAGTGCAGTGAGAGA